TTGATAGCCTGATTCTTTCATGGATTTGTCTAATCGCCTTTGAAAACCATGTTGGTTGCTGGCCATCATCATTGAAAGCATCTTGTATTCTCAAAAATATTATATATTATTTCACAATAATATTTTCAGTGGCATGTAAAATTACAGACAAACTCATGGAGAAGAGGGCTAGCGAAGGCTACTAGCTACTAGGGCTAAGCTCAGCCTCCAAAGTTTGAAGCAGCAATGCTGGAAACCGTGGGAGGGGAGAGGGCTCCTGTGCTCGAATCCTGCTTACAGGTTTGCCATGAGCATTTGGTTGGCCATTTTGAGAACAGTAAGTTGGACTAGATAGGCCAGCAGGCTCTTGTGTTCTTAGAGGCTATACCTGTGACAGACTGCTTGCACAGGCTTACTACCTCAAGAGCACATCAGGAGCCTGGGCTGAAAGCTGACTCCCTTCCAAGCACAAGAGGGGTTCAAACTAGCTCTCCTCTCAAACTTCGTTTTGCCTCTTTTAAAAGGAAAATGTAGTCAACAGTTTGGAATGCTGTGACTTGTGGGAATGCATAGCAATAATTTAAATTAGTGTCTCCCTAGAATTGCATTGTTCATCTCTTTTGTAATTACCGTAGTTAGATTATAAACATGCCCGTCATCTAATATAGTCAAGAGGAGAAGCGCTGGCAAACCTAGCAGCTTTGTTGCATGGTTCTCAGTCAGTCAGTAAAGCATCAGGGATTACCTTATGTCTGATATTGCAATCTGTTATGATTAGGTCTGTTTACTGTTGCAATTTGTTTCATGTTTGAACACATGCACATGTTCAAACTATTGATGCTAATTAGCCATAGAGCATATTTTCTATGCGATGATTGCTGGATTTCTTACTAGATGAAAATGAGTGTTGAAAGAGTGTCTCAGTTTCATCTACTAAATGTCACTGTCCTCTTACTGAGATCCAAAATTCAGAAGATGACGGATACTATTCCCTGGTTGTAGCTGTAATAGAAAATACATTTTAAAAGCTATTAATTAACATATGTTACCAAATTGATTGCTATAATTATGGGAGACTATGTTGAAGGAGTTTTGTGGGTGCACAAGGACAATCTGAATTTTGCCCCACTGTGGGATCACTCTCACAACAGATGAGACCACCTAATATTAGGGACAGCAGGAATCATGTTCCCAAGTGAGCTGCTATTACTAGAGAATATTCTTTTTTTTTAGATGCCTGCTTTATTTCCTTTGGCCTCCGAAGATCCCAAGAGTGGCTGGAGAAGCCCAGCCAGATGGGCGGGGTATAAATAAATTATTATTATTATTATTATTATTATTATTATTATTATTATTATTATTCTCCCCCTGGACATTTGGCTCAGGGGAATTATAGACTTGCAGAGTGGAAGAGACTATGAAGATCATTAGTCTACCCCTCTGCAATGCAGCAATCTTCCACCCAACATGGGGCTCGAACCCACAACCCTGAAAGAGTCTCGTGCTGTACCAGCTGAGTCAGATCAGTGTCACAACAGAATGTCCCTAGTATGCATGAGGGATGGTATCACCTCCCACAATGAATCTGTGGAACAGTCTGTCCTTCTTGGGATTTCTAGCTTGTTTGGCTCTATGCCCTCTTTGGCAAACAGAGAGACGCCACCTCCATCTCTACTGATCTTTCTACAGAGTTTGTATCTGGAAATGTAACTGTATCTGACTGGTTCTTTCCATTCCACCAGATTTCTGTTGCACCCATTATATTTTTGCTCTCTTCCACGGCACGTCTACTGCAACATTTATAAAAGTATTTATATGCTGCCAGTTATAACAATATAGCATGATGGTGTGCAGCAATATATAGAGTGAAATATAATAGCAGTAAGAAATAGACTCTTAAATGACTGAAAAATCAAAACATTTGAACAGTTACATAAGTCTGTCTACATGATAAGGTCTTCAAGAGACTCCTGAGGTCAAAAGCGAGGGTACCTGTCAAATCTTTGCTGGAAGAATGATGACACTAAACGCCCGACTTCCAGTGGAGGCTAGCTGGGCCTTTATAACACAGGGGTCAACTGGATAATCACAGTGAATGAGTTGAAATATACCATCCAAGTGCACCTCTGTAATCAAATGGCTTTGCCCACCGCTGTCATTGCTCAGTACCAGGAACCCAGCAGTATACTCTATTTCCCTCCATGTATAAACATGAATGCATTCATAAATTGGAGTGATCTGCAAATACCAGTGCTCAGACGTCAAATCCAGGCTTACATCCACAGAGCAGTTAGCTAAACATCTAGCTAATATTTGACTGGGCAGTTATGTGTGTAAAATGCTGATATATTTATTTGTGAGCCAACTCCCCCCACCCCACCCCTATTGATCTCTCTAGTGCACAGAAAATGATGACACGTTTTTTTCTTGGTGAGTTATTCTGGTCTATGTTATGTTAGAAAAGGGATGCAAAGCTAGCTTTCAAGTGACAAATGACACAGCAGGAAGGAAGGAAGGAAGGAACCCATTTAGAAAACCAATGTGACAAGGCAGATGATATGCCTTCACTAATCTTCAACCTTTTTGGACCCAAGACCCACTTTTAACCCAAACATGCATTTGGGGACCCATTTCTTAATATTTTACCACATATTTGCATGGTGGTAGTGCTCTATTTTGAGTATCTGTAGCTAGAACATTAGTAAGGGGGGGGGGACATCTATGCCATGTACAGATTTCACCTTTGCTACCAGTAGTCCTTTAGTCCTCAGCTTACTACGCATGGAAATATGGAAAGCTGGTGTGCTGGAAATGCCTGTTCAGTCATCAGCTTCCTAAATAGCCACAGGCAAATCATATGCCTTTCACTTAGCCTCAGTTCTGCATCTTTAAAATGGGAGTCTTAACCTCACTGCAGCAACGGCCACATTCCTTTCTGGGGCGCATACCAGTGATGGGTTGGTGGAACTTGTAGATGTGGTCAGAACAATAAATGTGTCTCCTACACACACTTGCACACCTTTCTTTATCTATCCTCCATCCAGAAAGCATTTATCAGAGTTCAAGGAAACATTTGCTAGCCAGGCAAAAGCATCCAGGAAGGGCAGAAGTGGGTGTGGTATGAGAGCGCTGAGGTCAGAGTCGAGAGAACAGGAGGGCCACATTTGGCCCCTGGGCTTGAGCATCCCAACTCCGGCCTCACAGAGTGTCAGAGAGGATAATGAAGCAACTATTGAGGAAGCATGCTTCAGAAGCAACATAGGAAGTAATTGAATAATGTTACATTTAGGGTTTCTTCACTGTCCAACACCACCTTCCCCAACACAAACACACTTGCCTTTTGTGAGTTCCAGGAATTCAGTGGGCAAACTAAGGGAAGTGCCTCCAACGCGAAAAGCGCCCCCGGTTGGGTTTCTGTCTGCGATGCAGTCTTGTAATGGCACAGAAGTAACACGGTGTGTGTGTGTGTGACGAAGAACATTCCACAGACAGAAAAGAGTTATGGGATTCCCTATGGGTTTGGTGGCTCAAAAGCACCACTTCTTTAGATTTCTTTAAAAAGGAAAAGGCCGCGCAGTGCAATGCCGAACCGTCCTCAAGCGCCCTTTGTCTTTTGCATTTTGCATCCCCCCGGTTCCTATCCGAAGAGGGGAAGCGGAGATTGCCGTTTGGGAGCAATTTCTGCAAATGCTGTTGGGGAGCATTTCTGAGGAAGAAGCAGCAGCAAGGAAGGTGCAGCGCTCCCTCAGGTCGCTAGAAGCCGCTGCCGCTCCCGCCGGATTCGCAGCTCCCCTTGCAAGAGCCGCCTCCTCTCCCTCCCTCCCTCCCTCCTCGCGGCGCCTTCCCAGGCTCCTCTCCGGGTAAACAGCGATGGCCGCAGACGAAGGAGGCGGAGATCAGGATAACAACATGGGGAACCACTTGCAGCTCATTCCCGGTAATGGTCGCTCCCGGCGCGCGGCGCGGGCGGGCCCCTCAAGGGTGGGCGGCGGGGGAGGCAGAGGGGCGTGCGAAGTCTCCCGAGGTATTTGGGTGGGGGGCGGCGGCGCCTAGTCCGTGGCAAAAAGAGAAATGGGGCGCTGCTGGGGGTGGGGGCAATAAGACTCGGGCAAGGTAAAAGCCACTGGCCCCGAAGGGCTTCCTGGAGGAGGAGTGGGGTGGGGTGAGGGGGCCGGGGGGTTGTGACAGTTGGGGGGGGTTGAAAAGGGGTGTGTGGGGACGAGAGGAAGGAAATAGGGGAGTGGGTGTATCGGAAGCAAAGGAATTGGGAAGGGGGGGACTCTTAAGGATACCGCAGCGCTAGGGCTTTTAGGAACCGGAGTTGCTTTGGGAGAGGGCAAGGCATGGGCGAGAGCTGGCAGTTTCAGGAATTGGGGGAGGGAAAAGGTGTGTGGTGTACTGGGGGTGGGGTGGGGTGGGGAAGAGGTGGTGCCGAGACCCAGATAATATGGGGTACTGGAGCCCTTGGCGTAGGCAGGGACTGGGATGGGTGGCCTTAAGTTGGAAAAGTGGGGTGTGTCTGGAGTAGGGCAAGAGAGGAGCTGACACAATCCAAAGGCAAGGAAGGATGAGACTGGGTTGGGAGGAATTAGCATCCCGCTGCCATCTGCCTGCATAAAGCTGGAGGAGCATCTGGAACCACTCCTGCCTGCTCCTTAAGCAACACAGCAAACAGGTGGACATATCTGTGGGGTTTTTTATCACAGGAGGATGCAAGGACTTTTCCAGTTAGGTTTCTGGCTCTCTCAGGTGCCACTAAAGGCCTAGGAGTTGTGCCAGGGAACCGAGGCTTTGGTTCCAAAGGTGAGGGCGGAGATGGTGACCTGAAGGGGAAAGTGCAAGTTTCCTGGGACCTGGGATGTTGTTGTGGACAGAAAGGGAAGGGTAGGGAATTGTGGCCTTGAGAGAGTTTTGGAGCCTGGAACTTGAGGTAGGACAGAGAACTGAAGTGTTAAGGGAGGGTTGGGGAAATCTTGCAGGGTCACAGATTAAGAAGAGTCCGGAGTAATAGTGAGGTATTATATTTTGGCGAGGAAACAATAAAGGCAGGAAGATGGATGGGTATTTGTGACATTGGGTGGTGAGGGATCTGGCGTTTGGAATGGAGTCAGGCGGGAAATATTGTATCACTGGGGCAGAAAGAGAATAAGCAACATGGTACTGGAAAGCTGGTGGAGGTGAGAACCAAGAACAAGAATAAGAATCAAAAGCAGCAGCCTGAGACATAGGCCATTTGGATTTAAGGAACTGGAACAAGTGGGGAAATGTGTATGGGCTTGTGGTAAGTATTCACAAATATGCTGCTACTATATAAACATTGTGCTGTATAGTAGTAACCGTGCAGACTTGTAAAGTAGGAGTATTAAAATTTGCTTTTCTTTGTCAAACAGTAGTCAGCCAAATGTCCCCAAGTGATTGTGATATCTCTCCCCTGTGTGTCACCAGGGGTATATGGGGTATAAGGCTAAGAAGTAAACTTTACACAAAATCCAGAGTGGAGTCCCTAAGATAGTTGGATGGCACCTTGTATGCCTACTTTTGGCAACTCATGCAGCTAAGCTGGTGCCAGACATACTGTTCTGCTTTCCCCCATCAGTGAGGCTGAGTATGGGGTCTTGTCATTTGGGTAGCCCAGGACCTCCACATATACTGCGCTCCAGGGAGGTCACTTCTGCGCTGCTAACACAATGATTTGACGGCACATTCCATTTTCTCCCGAAAAGATGGATGCCATTGATGTATCTCCAACAGGTCACTCACTCTGAATTATGAGGTGTTGTTTTAAGCTGCTATAACTATCTCTGTGATGTTGTCTGTCAATGACCGAGAATCTAAATAGTCACAATATTCTGTGGCCAACTAGGACAGGATGCTGAAGTAAATGAACCTTTGTCCCAGCAGGATGGTTCTTAAATTTTTATGAGGGACCTAGATAAGCTCACAAAAGTTATCAGCCTGCTAAGAGGCTAGTGACCTGCATTTTGACACATACCATGGAGGAGAAGTTTTGGCCTATTAGTTAGGATTCAACAGCCCAACTTCCCCACCCCCATCGCATTGAAATCTATTTGCTCTTTTGTTCTTGTGTCCAGTTTTGGGATAACCTCTTGGCTACACTTTACATTTCCCCTTGAGTTTTCACCATCCTACATAAATTGGAATAACAAATCTTGGCTACCTCACTGCTCCCCACTGAATTCAGATATTTTTGAAAAAGTTAAGTAGCACTGATTCTAGTACAGAGCTTGATGGTTTGGGGGGTGGCGGCAGCAAAGGAGCATTTCTTTTAATAAATGCATGTACTTGTGGTACAATCTTCATGTGACCATTTTTAAAAATGTTTTAATATTTCAAAGCGGCAGAATCTCTCTCCAGTTGGAAAATGCTACCAAAAGAAAGGCTTTTGGTGTAGGAAGAGAAACTGGATTGCTGTGTAGCATGGGGACTTTTCACATTGGAACAAAAAAACAATGTAGGCTTGTGTCTGAAGCAGCAAGACTGTGTGCTACTATTTTGGAGAGAGGGAGATCTACAGCAGTAAGAAGTATGGTTACCCGCCTATTATTTCTGTAATAACTAGCACACAATTTTATGTGAAGTTGAGGGAAAGGCCCCTGACAATGCTAGGCCCTTTTAATGAGGTTAATGTTGTTTTTTCTTGGTAGTTCAGTAGCACTAACCATACCAGTAAACTATTCCCATGTAATGGAAGCAGCAGCAATGATAGTTTGCTTCAATGGATGTGTAGGAGATGGTGCAGGTATGCAGCCTCCAAAGAAAAAGAAGAGAAAATATGTTTAGATTCAAAATTGCACAGATGGGCCTGGAAATCTTTGCAGTTTGCCATGGTAAAGTGTTTTGGGCAGTAATGAATAAGTATTGTGACACTGACTTAAGGGTCAATCCCAGAGCAGCCACCTTTTCTAGTTGGGCTTATCATGCATTATCAGGAATTTGCTTTGCTAAACGAGCAATTGTAACTACAGGGGAGGAGCCAACATAATTTATGCTAGTTTAAATTAAGCCAGTGGAAAGTACACCAGAGCCAAACTCCATCCAGGAGTGAGGCCACTGCTAGCTGAGCCAGTCCAAACCTAGCACAAAGAAAACAAACCTTTGAAGGAGAGTTTGTCACACAGCACCTTTTTCTGGTGTGAGTACTGCCGAGTTGCTAGGTCACGTAACTGAGCGGAACCGAGTTAGGCTCCAGCGTAAGTCTCCATCTTGCCAAGTCCTGCTGTATGCTCCTAGATTGTTCCTTTTGAAGGGCTTGCTCAGGCCTTGCCCGAGCAGGGATGAGGGATTTACACTAGCACATCTCTGGCTGTGTTGGAGATCCACCAGATCGTAACTCACTCATCCCAGCAGATTTTGGGTTTGGATTGGCTTCTTGCATATTACAGCTACATTCTACTTTTCAATATGGTTACATAGGTTCCCACTATCCAAACTCAGAGCAGACCCAGAGCTGCTTAGCTTTAGTATAATGGCAGACTGGTGCACTTGCCCTGGTTCTTCAGTTTGAGCACTGATAAACAGTGATTCTTTCTCCCTTCTCCCAGATCTGCTTGCAAGGTCATTTGGCAATTAATTGATGAATGTTTTGCTGTCGTGGCTATAGCTTCTTGAACAAGATGCTTAAAGGAGCAGACTAGTTAAATATGGATGGGATAGTGGCACAGGTGGTAGAGTCAATAAGGAGATCTTAGAAGGGCATCAGGAAGGGGGGGAAAGATTGATAATATATGCTAAGGAGTGATTCACAATAGTTTTCAAAATTACTATTTATCATTTACAAAGCACCCAAAATGTTATAGGTACTATACAGTGGTACCTCGAGTTACAAACGCTTCGGGTTACAAACATTTTGGGTTACAAACTTCACTAACCCAGAAGTAGTACCTCGGGTTGAGAACTTTGCCCCAGGATGAGAACAGAGGCCCTATTAGCGAAAGTGTGCCTCGGGTTAAGAACGGACCTCCAGAACGAATTAAGTTCGTAACCCAAGGTACCACTGTACAGACATTTAAGAACAAGAGTCCTGTCCTGCGGACTTTCACTTTAATAGATTCAGTAAAAAAGGAATAGGGAGGGAAAGAGAAACAAGAAAATGAATACTGTATGCTGTTTCTTGAAGTTAAGTTACATAATTGTTCTTCTAGTGACCAGCTGAAATGGCTGCTGAGGAGATTGTTCTGTGAGGAAAGAGAAAGTGCCATATGAGCAAAAGAGGTGCCATAAATTTGGCTGTGATGAATACAGGGTTTTCTGTAGTCAATATAAATTTTGATTCTGTTAAAAAACAACCACAAACAACTAAAAGCTCAAATTGTTTAAAATATGCCTAGCAGGCCATATATATAATATCTGAATAGCTTTCAGTTGGATGTGCTGTAGTGGTAAGAGAAGGTAGCTTAGGGTAACAATTACTGGTTTACTTTGATAAGAGAAGACACAAAGGGCTATCTACATTAGCTTCTGTGTTCCATTTACTAATCCTTTCATATTATATGTGCACAGTTTTGTGGCCATAAGACTGGTGGTTCTGTCACCTGGAGCAATTCAATTCAGGCAGCCTCTGTTAGGAGGGCATAGTTGAATTTCTGCATGTTTCAAACTGAAAAATAAGAAAAGGGGAAAAATTCTGGCCACTTCTAATTGGAAAAAAATGGACCATTAATCTCTTTTCTTTTTGTGGAGATTAGTAGAAAACTACTCTTTGACACTCACACACTGTCATCTGCAACAGTGATGGGGCTAGCTACTGACCATAGGCTATTTGCTGTTTTGCAGGGCCTACCAGCTTTCAGCTGAACACTGTACCCCATTTACCCCATTTGTACAATGTCATACCATGTAGAGGGGTGACAGCTGGGTCTTTTCGATGATGCCTCAATTATAAGTATCTGCTCACCTCAGACTTTATATTTTTCATTTTTGTTTAAGGGGTTTTTACTTCGCCACACGTTATTGATCGTTAGCAGTAAGTAAGCATTTCCATTTTTTAAAAAAATTCAAGACAAGTCTAACTGCCTGCTAAGTTTTTTTGGCATGCATAATTAGTTATGAGGTGTAGAGCACAGTCAGATTCAATACATAGTTCACAATGAAATTATTTTCTTCATTGGGTTTAGGTTAGAAATCAAAATGATTCCTTGCTTATTAAGAACAGAATGATTCCTTACTACGTGTTAAAAGCAAGTTAGCAATAGTAGTATATTATTCTATTGAATGAGTCGCATTTCCTGAAAAGCTTTCACTTGGAATATACTTCAGAGAGGAAATGAACAAGGTGAGCAGCTGGGCATATTGGGGCAGTTGCAAGAAAGTAAAGGTGGAAAGGAAATGAAGGAAGAAAACAGCATACTTTGCTTAGTCGTATGCAATAGGCTGATTGCATGGATACTGTGGTAGGTGTTATCCTTAAAGAATGAAACTGAAAGAGGAAAGATTGTGAATAAACCTGTTTTTCCAGCTGTTTTCTTGTAATACGTTGGCTGCATGTAGAATTGATATTAATAAAACTTCTTAGTATTAGTCTAGTGTTCAGGGAGGAATGCTCAGTTTACATACTGTTTGCATATGGAAAAATGGATTGCTTTTGCATAAAACCGTGGCAAGGAGTAAAGACAACTTGGCTCTCTGTTCAGTATGTAATTTGACTTTATTCCTTGAACCATTTGTATTGAGCAATTAAACTATTTTTGGCTACTGGCACCCTTGGCATGGTGAACTTTGCTTTTCTCCTGTTCTCTGCAACTTAATTTGGAAGTTGGGTAACCATCTCTATAGATTTTGTTGCACTATCATCAGAGAGCAGGAAGAAAGCAAACTTCACCATGCCATGGATGCCAGTAGCCAAACAAAGTTTAATAGATAACATGGGAGATTCAGCCTTAGACCAGATGATTTAATTAGAGCAGTAGTACCAGCATTTTGGGATCTGAGCCCGGCCTTGGCTGGGGAGGGCGGGGTATAAATAAAAATTATTATTATTATTATCTACTACAGGGGTCTGCAACCTTTAAGACAAAAAGAGCCACTTGGACCGAAGAAGAAAAAACGGGGAGCCGCAAAACCATTGCGACATTTAAAACAGTGGGGAGTGTCAGGGCACACAATGCGCCTCCTCCCCTCGCTAGTATCCGCCCCGGAGTCGCGGCAAAGGTGTAAAAGAGCCACATGCGGCTCCGGAGCCGCGGGTTGCAGACCCCTGATCTACTAACTGTGACCTGGGATCCACTTTTAAGCCCAACCAGATGCAAGAGGTTGTTTAGCTGTTTTTCAATACAGTACATTTCTGTTCTTGCCTAAAACAGACACAAGAGTTTTGACAGTTTTGCTGGTTCTACCTGAGGTTGGTACATAACCCACTGCTATAAACCTTCAGGACCTTTCTCCAACCATTCAGTATGCTGTCCTGTGTTGTAGAAATGTACAATCAAAGACTGTGACTGTGCCCTTTCTGTAAAACTGTGACTCTCAAAAGTGTCAGACTCATAATTACTGTTCCCCAGTTATCAAAAGGAGAACTTCAGTATCACAAGACTATTGACAAATGAACTTCATAATCCATATCCTGCAAAATATAAATGTTTCAAATATAAATAAAATATGTTGTTTTCCACAACAGCAAACCATACTGTACTGTGTTACCTGAAACACTAACAAATTGGTTGTGGCATAAGCCTCTGTGGTGAACTCTTATTTTTTGCTGCAACATTTAACACAGCTATCCCTCTGGAAATTATTTTGGATGTTTACCTTAATTTAATATAACCTAAAATATGTGTGTAATTTCACTTCCATCTTAAGATGATAGAAGGCAAGGTGTGTGGTGTCTTCATCCATCTGTATTTTGTCTTGCATCTGAGAAAGATAGGCTAAAGTGATGGGTTTTTTCCATTGTGCCACTGCAGTAAGATGAGTCATCGCTCTTCACAGGCTTTAGGCTCTTTCAGCCAAAATGCAGCACAGTTAGGCTGCCACTTCTTTTCGTGTTAAAATAAGTGAAAATGAGAAACAGAAGAGCGCTTAGCATGAGGTGGTCTTGAGAATGAAACACGACCTCATGCTAAAAGTAAATGGCAGCACATTTTAAAGGTTGCACCCACCATTTGATCAAGCTTCAAAGGAAAGCTTTACAATGGAATGTAGATAAAATTGCCTTCTGCAAATGGGCCTTTAAAAAAAATTATTGAAAGGTGATATAACCTGATAAACTATTTATGAAATGTGAAAATTGGTGATGAGCTACTCTGTGTTCAAACAGCATAGAAAATATGAGACCAGCATTTTAAGATTTCAGAAGCAATCTTAAGTACAGTGGTACCTCGGGTTACATACGCTTCAGTTTACATATGCTTCAGGTTACAGACTCCGCTAACCCAGAAATATTGCTTCAGGTTAAGAACTTTGCTTCAGGATGAGAACAGAAATTGTGCTCCGGCGGCGCAGCAGCAGCAGGAGGCCCCATTAGCTAAAGTGGTGCTTCAGGTTAAGAACAGTTACAGGTTAAGTACGGACCTCCGGAACAAATTAAGTACTTAACCCGAGGTACCACTGTATGTGGCAATAGTTGCTTCTGCAACAGCAGTGCAAGGAAAGAAGTGTCATTTTGACTGTCTTAAAATTTCAACACAGTAAATTTTAATTTACCTTGTGTGTTGAATGTATCATGGTATGCCAATACTGTTCATATTGATAAAATGGTGTAGGAATGTCATGGCAAGGTAGAATCATTCATCATCCTCGTGGTCTAGATCAAGGTTAGCTAATGTGGTGTCCCTTATACATTGTTGGACTTCCTGCATCACCTATAGTCAGGGATGATAGGAGTTTCAATCCAGCATTATCCGGACATTACCATATTGACTACCCTTGATCCTAGGCGTCTCTTGGAGTTTGGGGGCTGAGCTGTGCTCACCATGGTGACTTGTAGCTTGACCTACATTCTGGAGAGCAATGATTGCTGTTTCAATGGGGTGAACAGACCTACACTTTATGACTTAGCTTTCTACAGCTTAGTAAAAAAATGCCGCCCATGTTTTATGATGCACTCCTACTGCTCCACACTGTGTTTCACTCTCCATCTGGCCTTTTACTATTATGGACTGTAGTTTTTGTGAAATAATTTGCATGTTCACCTAACAGCTGAGCAGCTGTGTATTTTTAAATGTAATTGTGCGGAGGGATTGTTTCCTTCAGGTTAATTTGCCATAACCCAGGGGACTAGAATGGAGGTAGCAACATGAATCACAACTAAACAAGCCCTTCAAATTAAATTCTGGCCAAAGAAGAAAGATATATTTTTTCAGTTTGTCTTCCCATCATCTGATGTATGGTTGATGGGCAGAAAGGGATGTTGGAATGCCCTGCCTAAAAAAAGTGTTCTTGGCCCCATAGTTTAGTTTTTGTTTGAGGTTTTCTAAACTGTGCATGGAATCACCGTGAGTAGAGGAGGCTCCCTGCTCCAGATCTTTGCCATCAGATTAATTGAAGGTGGTAATGATGACATAGTGGAGAGGTTTGGCAGCACACCTGTGTCTCCATGTTTACCTGTTAGTAGAACTAACACCAGAATTGGGTTAGAGAGCTAGTATGGAGAGGAAAAATGTTAATGCACCCTACTGATAAAGTTTAGAGGCTACAAATCAGGTACAAAGATTATGGTTTACGTTATCTATGGTATTGAGGGTATTCTGTTTGCTGTTCGTTTGTTTTTTTTAAAAAAGGGACATACAGTTACAGGAAACAGTGGGAATGTTTGCTAAAGTGGCATTAGAATATTAAAGAAGCATGAAAAGATGCAAATCATCATAGATTTCTGCTCTACAGTAATTCGTGAATGGTTGTGAGTGCCTTGACTACTCAGCTAGAGCTAGCCCAAGAGTGCGGACCAAACTAGATGTGCTTGTTATAATGCAGTTTGGCATTTCATAGCTATGTTTTGTTTAACAAATAGGTCAACTGGATATTCTGATTGGACCATGATGGAAGCAAATGAATAAATCCTCTCCAAACCACTGACAACATTCCAAATCCTGTATGCCCCTTCTGCCAGCAACATGTTAAACAAAGAACAGCCATACATAACTAAACAGCACAATAAAAGTCAAGTCTAGTTTGGCCCAGAACATCTTTCCATATCCATCTTATTCACCTGATTTGGCACTCTGATTTTTTTATCAGAATCTCAAAAAATTAACCTGCATGGTTAGCATTTTTCTGATGGAGGTACCGTAAAAACTAAAGTAGTGTGATTAATAAAGTACCCTTACAACGAAGTGATTTTGAAAGTGATATATTGCTGTCAGAAATGTCTAATTTGTTTTAGGAGTCCAGTTGCTACCCCTCCCAGTTTGGTGTCACCTTCAAATTGGATGAGTATCCCCTCAATTCCTTCATCGTTTATACAGACTTTGAACAACAGGCCTAGGAAAGAAGCCTGGGGCATTCCACTTGTCTGTTTTCTCCAGATGAGGAAGCTCAGTGATTTTCTCTAATCCTTTCTCCCCCCCCCCCCCGCTACCACTTGCCTCACTTCTGCAAAGGGTTGCCCAACCCTCTAGAACAGTTTTTGTGGGCACAGAGGGAAGAGGAACTTAAGGGACCATATATCCTGATGGCAAAGCATATATTTTATGTGCACAAGAAAGTATTGTAGATTAATTCCTGGGCATTTATTTAACAAAACTTGAAAAGACATTTATTTAAGTTGGACACTTGTTTCTAGGTAGTGTAAATGATATTTGGCTTGTCCATATAAGGCAACTGCTTATATTCTCCTAAAATAAATAATTTGTCACAGTACATTGCAAGTGATGGACTTTCACCATCATTTTTTCAGAAATATTTCCCTGATATCAACTATCTTAGGCAATTTAATACTTGTGGTATTTTTTTTTTTGACAACTTGTTTTTTGTTTTTCAAAAATCTTTCTTGGACTTCTTAGCAGAGAGTGAGGAAGAAGATGACGTTGACATGGAAGTTGAAGATCAAGACAGCAAGGAGACTGAAAAGCCAAACATCATTAATTTTGATACTAGCCTGCCAACTTCACATGTGGTATGTGTGTCATATTGTTGCTCTTTCCTCATCATCTGTGTTCCATGTTGGAAATTTAGAGCCCCAGGGACTATGTATATGGAACCATCAAAAACCATCTTCCACTCCCAAAGAGATTTTACTTTTTCCTGTGATTTCCAATTTTATCTCATGGTAGTAGCAAGAAAGTGAACCGAAATCCAGCCATGTTCTCCTACTAGAGCAACTTTTTGCCCCATCCTGTTATGGAAAAATATCTTCTTATAGGGCTGTGCACTCACTTTAGAGAGCCAGTGTGGTGTAGTGGTTAAGAGCGGTAGTCTCGTAATCTGGGGAAACGGGTTCGATTCCCTGCTCCTCCACATGCAGCTGCTGGGTGACCTTGGGCCAGTCACACTTCTCTGAAGTCTCTCAGCCCCACTCACCTCACAGAGTGTTTGTTGTGGGGGAGGAAGGGAAAGGAGAATGTTAGCCGCTTTGAGACTCCTTAAAGGGAGTGAAAGGCGGGATATCAAATCCAAACTCTTCTTCTTCTTCTTCTTCTTCCAGTTAGCACTATAGTCATATTGCCTAGTATGCAGGGGTTTAGTTCCAATGGTTGCACGTAGCCAAAATTACGTTTTCCTTAGCCAGCAAGGGGAAGGAGACTTCCCTGTGTTTCCACTGCCTCTTCTTACTTCATATGCCAGTGACCACCAGGCAGAAGGGAGGAGGAGACAGAGAGACACAAAGGCAGAAGAAAAAGGGTGGAATGGATTTGGAACAGAGGTGCAGCCAAGCTCGTACGATTGAAATTGCATATGTTAAATGTGTAGAAGATGAGGCTCAATTGTACTACAAGCATGGGAAACACTAGTGGCAATTTTTGTTTTTCTTAGGGTTCCGTAGATCTAGTCCATTCATCCCAAAGCTCTGTTGTCTTTAATTTTTGCATTTATAAACTGTGAACGATTCCAAGAACACTCCCACTGAATTGCGACTTCTAACTGCTTTTTATTTCTTGTTTTGGAAAGTATTTAGGATCTGATATGGAAGAGTTTCATGGAAGGACTGTCCATGATGATGACAGTTGTCAGACTATTCCAGTCTTACCCCATCTGATGGTAATGTTGATTCCTGGACAAACACTGCCTCTTCAGCTCTTTAGTCCCCAAGAGGTTAGCATGGTGCGGAATTTAATACAGAAAGACAGAACCTTTGCTGTTCTTGCATACAGGTAAATTAGTAAATAGAGTTGCAGTTATGTGAAATTTATGCCATATCTGTAATGGAGAATGTTACGGACTATTGCATTGTTGTTTCGTGTTGTTACACTCATTGCCTGCAAATCCAGAGCAGCTTGGGGGCTGAGCAGGAAACTGAAGATTCTTGATGAAGAGGTAATTCTGAAACAAGCTTACAGTAGCTTTTCCTAATATGCTGGTTTTTCTTCTTCTTAGCAACGTACTTGAAAGAGAAGCACATTTTGGAACGACAGCAGAAATTTATGCCTATCGAGAAGCGCAAGAGTATGGAATTGAAACAGTCAAAGTAAAAGCCGTGGGAAGGCAAAGGTTTAAGGTTCTTGAAATAAGAACTCAATCAGATGGGTAAGGAAATAAGGAATATGTGGCAATGTTGAACAGGGGAGCCTGTTTATATCCGGCAAAATTTTACAATCTTGCCAGTCTTAAATTTTCTCAGAATTCTCTCTTCACAGTTCGGTGTTGCTTAGAGAAATAGGTGGGATATCTAAGTAATGAGGAATAATACCTTTTGTGTGTACAGGTGTATGGTATGAAGCCACTTCTCTGCCATGTAAATATGATTTTGGTGGTGTCATACTGTGAACTAATCCAGGGTGTTTGATGGTGTGCTACATAAATGCGCACCTTTAAAATTATGGATTATGTCTTTATGAAGCAGTGCATTTATTCTCTTCAGCAATTCTGAAAACTATCGCTACTTTTGTGGCACAACTGATATTTATTACTCCCTTTGTCCCTCAGCATCACAGACCTAGCAGAGGATGAACAATAATAAAATATTTATGTTGAATAGATAATGACTCCTTTACAGCAAACGGCATCATAAATAGCAATAGTTAATGCAGAAGTAACATTTAAAACTGTCTTTAACTTTCAAAAAACAAACTCCTAAATAAAGTTCTTCCAATTCTAAGATTATTATTTTTTAATTAAATTTCCATACCGCCATTCTTACAAAGATCACAGGGCACTTTACAATATATATAAACCCAACAGTTTAAAAGGCCATAGATTGTTCAATTAGCCAAAGGCCTGGGAGAAGAGGAATATTTTTGCCTGGCCAACTATGCAGAAGGTTGGGAAAGGGGGGCTGTTTCCTGTCCTTTGCTAGATGGGGGTTTCTGAGATTTTTTTAAAAGACTTGTCTTTCTGCCAGGGGGCGGTGGTGTTGTTCTTCCATAACTTTCCACCCTAAGAGCCCTCAGCAACTTTTAAATTTGGGGCGTTTCATCTCAAAAAAAGAAGAGCCTGGGTTCTCCCCCCCCCAAAAAAATCCCACATTATTTTTTTTAACCTGGAAAAGTTTTGAGCCATAGGTGGCCACTGTTGGACTACCTTCTGAAAAGGAAGCACTAGGGAAAATATATGATTAAGGTCTCTGTCTGTTTTGCAGAAATCTGTGTGTATAGAATGAAAATGATTTAAATACGTGTTTCCCTCGTAATAAATTCATAATCCTTACTTGGAATGTAGCAATTTGAACACAAGATGGCGGCACACATTAATGTCAGAAACTATATGTGTTACGGGAATGTTTTTTAAATAGGGTGGTATTCAAAGAGTAGAAGTTAATGGACGTGACTAACTTAGGTTCATTAATTACAGTGGGTCTACTCTGAGTTGGACTTGGTTGACTACATCTCTATAAGATTGTTCTCTTCTGTAGTGGTGGCATGGGTTTTGTAACCATTCTACACTGGGAGAGAACAAAGGCACCTGGAAAAAAGAGGAATATTGAGGAATAAAGTTCTTTGTCTAGACCTGTCTTATGCTTTACATGTTTTTCAACTAAAATTTTCGTTATGATTGGATATTATCTGTGGAATGTCAGCTGAATAACACATATCAGGAGGAGACAAGTTTCGCGATGGCAGCAAGCTTTGCTTAAGACTTGGAACTTGTTTGGTTTTAATATCTTTGCCCATTTTAAAAGAACACACTTATATTCAGAAGCACGTCTATTGACCCTTGGGGTTTAAGTAGCATTGGGGAAAATCCAACCAAATAAGTTTCCATTATAGGCTGCAAAAGTAAAATGTGGAACTGAGATTTTTTAAATCCATTAAAATTTATGGGAGTGCTCCCCCCCCCCAGATGTCTTATTGATGTAGCTAAAGAGGCTGAGTAAATAGCCAGACAGATGCAGTTTTCATACCTATGTGAAATCTCTTTATCAGAATACAGCAGGCAAAGGTGCAAATCCTCCCTGAGCGAGTTCTGCCTTCAACTATGTCAGCAGTGCAGCTGGAGTCCTGCAGCAGATGCCACATATTTCCTTCTTCCAAGCCTGCAGCATGGCAGGATCAACATATACATCAATGGCGGCAGAAATATCAAAAGGTCAGAAGCTAATGGTATTTTTATTTTTTATGTTTTTGGTATGACATTTCAAAAATCAATATAAATTCCATCTGTGTGTCTCTCCTTTTAAAGAAAGATGTGTGAAATGGGACGGTTCCTGTCAACCCCCTGCTGCCGCAGATTATTTGTGTGACTTATCAGTTCACCACAATGGGCAGCTGCACATTTTATATTAGACAAGTTATAATTGGTTCCAATTATCTTTTGGCTACTCATTTGAAGGAAAGGTCTTTTTTGTGTGTGTGTAAGGGAAGGAAATTGGAGGGGGGGGGAGACTAATTTGAGAGGCTTAAGTCAAAATGTGTGTTAAGCTATATGCTGTATGTTTCATGCCTTATGGAAATGGAACAGATTGTGACACATTCCATGTGTCTTCGGAGTAATGATGCAGGATTAGTTCCTGCTTTCTTTCCTGTCTTATGTACAGTGGCACCTCAGTTTAAGAACAGCCCTATTAAGAACAGCCCTAGAGCCAGTGTGGCGTAGTGGTTAAGAGCGGTAGTCTCGTAATCTGGGGAACCGGGTTCGCATCTCTGCTCCTCCACATGCAGCTGCTGGGTGACCTTGGGCCAGTCACACTTCTCTGAAGTCTCTCAGCCCCACTCACCTCACAGAGTGTTTGTTGTGGGGGAGGAAGGGAAAGGAGAATGTTAGCCGCTTTGAGACTCCTGAAGGGGAGTGAAAGGCAGGATATCAAATCCAAACTCTTCTTCTTCTTCTATTTACGAACTATTCGGTATACGAACTCCACAAAACTGGAAGTAGTGTCCCAGTTTTCAAACTTTACCTTGGTCTAAGAATGGAACCCGAACAGTGGAAGGGCACCGGTGGCAGGAGGCCTCATTAGGGAAAGCGCACCTCGGTTTAAGAACAGTTTTGGTTTAAGAACGGACTTCCGGAACAGATTAAGTTTGTGAACCGAGGTACCACTGTACTAATAGCAAACATATTCTCAAAGTGTGGGTGCTTATGTTGCCAAAATAGGTAAAAAGGTAAAGGACCCCTGGATGGTTAAGTCCAGTCAAAGGCGACTATGGGGTTGCAGCGCTCATCTGGCTTTCAGGCTGAGGGAGCCGGTGTTTGTCCAGACAGCTTTCCGAGTCATGTGGCCAGCATGACGAAACTGCTTCTGGCGCACTAACTGTGCACAAGGAGGAAGTGTTTGCATACTTGAGGAAGCCCCAAGGTTTAGTGAAGTACAACAAATATTGTGGAACTTGTTACAAGAACATCCCAGGAGAATTGTGCATGCTCATTTGGGCAGAAAATGAAAACTGAGGGTGGGTAAATGACGTACAGTGGAACCTCAGGTTACGTACCGTCCTCCTTATGAACACTTTGGGTAACGAACTCCGCTAACCCGGAAGTACCGTATTTTTTGCCCTATAGGATGCACCGGCCCATAGGACGCACCTAGATTGGGGGGGGTGTAAAGGAAAAAAACTTATTCCCCCCCCCAGGTGCGGGGCTGGGGCGGGGGAAGCTCGGGTTTCCCCCGACGCCAGCCCCCAGAACAGGACCCAGAGTGCTGCCGAAGCTGTGTGCAGCTTTGGCATCGCTCTGGGAGCTTGTGGGGCTGGAGGAGTGCTGCGCCTCCCGCTGTCCCCCCAGTTTGCGGGGCTGGCGACGGAGAGGAGCAGGCTTCCCCCCCCCCGCCAGCCTTCTAACCAAGTCAGGCTGCGCCTCCCCGCTGTCCCCCGAGCTTGTGGGGCTGGCGGTGGGGCTCTCCTGAAGCCTGGAGAGCGAGAGGGGTTGGTGCGCACCAACCCCTCTCGCTCTCCAGGCTTCAACGAAAGCCTGCATTCGCCCCATAGGACGCACACACATTTCCCCTTCATTTTCGGAGGCGGAAAAGTGCGTCCTATAGGGCGAAAAATACGGTAGTTGCTCCTGGTTGCAAACTTTGCCCCAGGATGTGAGCAGAAGTCGCGCACTGGCGGCATGGCAGCAGCAGGAGCCCCCATTAGCGAAAGTGTGCCTCATGTTAAGAACGGTTTCGGGTTAAGAACGAACCTCTGGAACAAATTAAGTTCGTAACCAGAGGTACCACTGCATCCTGGAAAAACGGATGGAACCACGAGCAGGAACACACCGCACTGGAAAACTTGTTTGCAGGTTTCCCTTTTTCTAATTGTATGGGGAAAAGTGTGGACTGGGGCTGGATCTAGACACATCAAAGAAGCATTTCAGTTTAAAGCGTTGTTAATTTAAACAGGGAAAGCAGGTAGAGAAAAACGGGGCTTCACGTTGCCATCTGGTGGCACAATGTTATATCTCACACGCAACACATATAAATCTGTTTCTCTGCCAGTCTAGCTGGGTCCTAAATCAGATTGGTTGATGGCTGGAAACTTTTTACTTTTAATCCGTAAGAACATAAGAAATGCACTGATAGTTTAAGCTAAAGATGCATATAGGGCAGCACTCTGTTCTCATAGTAGCCAACTGGATGCCCAAATGTAGCCAGAGGTGCAGGTGCAGGTGCTTGGTGCAGAAGTCTGGGACCCTGTTCATCAGAGCAGCCCCAAAACAGCCTTGTTCAGATAGTGTTTTGGGTCAAATCTTCCAGTTGCTCAACATTATCCAAGTAAACAGGATTCACTGAGATGCTCTTGCCGTGGGGCCATGTGCTGTGCAGTTCTTTTTCATTTGAAGATGAGCCCTATCCTGTTATACCCGAATATTTTTCCTCAGGCTTAACGCCATAACTTTTCCTGACCTTAATGGTCATGCATGTTCAAGCCTTAGCAAGTTCCTGGCAGTTTTGTTGCCACTCTCCATAGTAAAGTACTTAAATGAGAAGTTTTGAAGTAACTATTCAATTGGGTGCAATTCAGACTAGTGAACTGAAGGGGAAATTGGTATGAAGACTTCTGATTCTTCATCAGAGGAAGGTGGATTCCCTCACTTCTAGCTCCAGTTATACTTCTAGGTTTGACTTCACTGCAACAGGTGTGTGCCATTTTATTTATTTTTGGCATTTTGTGACCGCGTGGTTCTTCCATTTATCAGTCATACATCTGTTTAAACTCTCTCAAGTTCCAATTGATCTCTTTACACCTCTTATGGACACATAGTTCCTACTGCCTAGTTATTTGCCTGGCTGAGCTGCTTTCTGGAGTTCTCTATTCTGCCCTTATCTATTGCCAGCCAGGCCATTCCCAAATTTGCTTCACTCTCGGTCTCAAGCAATCACATCCTTCTTATTAAAGGAATATTTTTTATATTAATCTTCACTTGTTTGGATACCTGCTGTGATAGCCTCTTTCAATGCAGAGCACAGGTCTGCTTATCATAAATGCAATTATTCCCACAAGCACTAGTTTAACAAAACTTTTTTCTTTTTCTTTTTTTAAGTCTCGGAATAATCTCCCAACACCAGACTTCTTCAGTGCTTGTGTAAAGTCACTCACATTTCCTCTCTTGGTATTAATTTGCTTGCTTTGGGGAAAGGTAGAATGTGTGGTTCATCCATGTAGCACTATTAACAAAGACTCCACATCTCACCCTCAAAATAAAACTTGCAGAAAATAGTGTTAGCTATTTGAACCATTGCTCAGAGTAAATCTGATGTCTTTAAAAAGTCCTTAAGTGGGCGTTTATAACTATGGTCCCTAATTTTGGAGGTAACTTAAAATGACCGTTATATCTTCAAGGAATATTGTTATCTTTCCTCTTCTCTTTTGTGATCTCTTGGATCCCTTTTACCTTTTCTTGAGGCTTAGCTCCCCACCCCCACCCCACCCCATTGCTGTGTTTCAGCTAATAACTGGAATGTATACATGAGTTTTGCAGCTTCCTGATATATGCAGCAGCGTAGACACAGCTTCACTTAACCCAAGCCGTTTGTTTGAAGAGCTTTTCTGTGCGATTGCAGCAGCTTGGACCTCATAAATGCAAACGGACCAAGGTTGCTTTCACACGGATGAGAATGCCTTGCATTCCAAACTCATTTTGGCCTGCATCATTCACACAGTGGTGTACTGTGAAAAACAAGGAAATAGATGTGTGTTTATATCAGTTTGTATTCTGTTGTGGCTTTGTACGAAGCAACTCATGCGAAGGAAGCATTCCCTTTTTTCTTATTTCCCCCTACCTACAACCCATTTACAGTCCCTGAAAAGTTGCTCCTGAAGTGGGCATAGTTTGAATAATGGCCCAGAGGTTTGTAGAAGGTTGGACTGGGGAATATATCAATATATCATCCAATACCAGTTTGAAGTCCTCTACCGTGATATCAGTTTCATAATTTTTGACCTGGCAATATATAGTGAATCATGATGCATGTATGTGTGCTCTGCAAAAATGACAATGTGGGAACAACCCTGAAGCCAGTCTATGCCTCTACATAGCTCCATCCTTATTTCAGACATTGCATATTGTGAAGTTTAGTTGGTGGTATAGGATGATGTTGAAAACCAGATATCACCCAGCCCTAGTAGGAGGATTGGCCATAATTGCATGTCCCACCTTGCCTCACTTATTATTATTTTTTAAATCACATTTTGATATACCCATAGATTTTACTTTATTAGTTTAATCTGTAATTGATGATGATGATGCCTTTAAAGAGTGAGAGTTGTTCAGGAACTTTCAGGGCTAAAAAACCCTTCAGTAGCAATTCAGTGGTTCCAAAGTGTACCCTCACAGAAGTAAAAACAGGGTTAAAATGTTTACTTCTGTGAGGGTACACTTTGGAACCATTGAATTGCTAGGCAGCACAATCTGAAAAGCAGTTGCAGTAGGCTATTTGGATTTTAAGTAATGTTTGCACTATTGGGGTTGGTGTGAATAAAATCAACTTAAACTGCAATATTTGGAATTATCACAGTAGAAATATCAACCTGATGTCTCCGAATAAAAAAAGTATTGGATACTATGTTTAAAGATATAAATAATGGGGATCAAACCCATTTCTATCTACTCACCAGGGTTTTCTGAGGTTCACAAGGTGTGTTTTGTACCTTGATCGTAACATAGTGAAACAAATAATTATGCTAATAGAGCATGCATTGGGGAGGGGAGATTTGCTTGATGAAATATTTATAGAAGTGTTCTCTTTCCTCTAGTAACTGAAGAATATCATTTATTACTTAGCAGTAAGGGTAAATATCTATATCTGTTTTGTCTTGCAGCGCAAATTCCACTGTGCTAGTCTGACTTCCTGGCCGTCTTGGTTGTATTCCTTATATGATGCTGTAAGTATTAATAAGGTCTTGCTCTTGGTTTTATCTCTCAATCTGGCATGTTCTTTTTGCCTCCGAGAGAACAATGGCGGCTAACCAGTGAAATGCTACTATGTATTAGATATCTGACCTTCTGTCAAATATTGCCAAGGAAACACAAGTTGCTGTCTCAGCAAGATCGCTGCCCACACGGCCTATACCTAAACAGCATTGACAGGTTCAACCACCTCTTGATCAGCATGCAGTCATCTTGGTCGAGACTAACAAGAGTGGGAACCTCTGGACTGTACAAGTTCTGCAAGGGATAGATATAGTCTGCCAGTACCCACTGGAATCCACCGTGGAGTCAGGGATGAAAAAGTGGCAGGAGCCAGGAGTTTGGTGAAGAAGAAACTGGGTCATAGGCTAATTCAGCAGCAGGATTACATGGTTTTATTATGCCCTGCATCTGCCATCCAACACACCTTCACCAAGGGGTGTGTGACATTATCAACTGATAAGATTGATGATTGCTAAATGGATTGTATCCAAGGATGACTCCTTTCCATGAGTGGAAACCCCATGGTGAAATCACTGGATACCACTCATAACGTTTTAATATGTCACAGTTCCCTCAACCCTTACAGAGAGCTAATTGGTTGGAATACATAGGTTTAGAACAAGAAAGGTGTACTATGTGCCCATCTTGCCCATGGATAAAACAGCATGATTCAGGGGGTCACCAAGCTTTTTGAAGTAGTGGGGACATTTTGAATTTTGAAAGAGGACTGGGGGTGCCAAGCACAAAATGGCTGCCACAGAGGGGCATGGCAATAACGCAGAATTAATGAGACAACCATGCCTGAAAACCTTATTGTTACCATGGGAATTCAGCTATGTCCTACTTGTCCTGATTGTGGAGGAAACACACACAGAGAGAGAGATGCTGTTGCTATCTAACAACAGGAAGCATTCCTTGGTACCATGAAAAATACACAAGGTAGCCATACAACTCTTATTCCATAGAAGCAGATACCTGCACATTTTGCCCCATAACTTTATTTCTAGGACGCCTAAATATCTTTTGGAAATGAAAGCTCAGAGATTTGGGCACCACGGTAAGACTTCAGCTGTGCCATGGCTTAACACCAAGCTGAAATTCATACAAGTGTGAATTAGACATTGATACGTGTGTGGATTTCAGCTTGGTGTTAAGAAGCTGCACTTTTTTTAATGAAACTTTACTGCAAAAGATATAGCCAGATACAATTTCTCTGCTTTATTCTTCATTCTTTTTTTTTTTTAAAGAAAAAGGAGTTTGTATGTTTAAATTAGGTTTTTCTTCCAACACAAGGAAACCTTGATGGAAAGAGTCAAGCAGCAGCTGCACGAGTGGGATGAAAATCTTAAAGATGAATCGCTTCCATCAAATCCAATAGGTACTCTTAATAAATAACTTTTCCTTGAAAATTGTTCTTGTTTGCTTCTCTGCGCACTTTAACTGATATATTACACGTTAGAAGAAAAAGTTGCATTTGCCTAGCAAAGTAGGCTCTGATCAATGAAAGCTCATGGCCGCATTAAGACACTACACATTTTCCAGTGCTCCATGGTGTAGGGGATTGGCCATGAATAGTGTGTTTACAAGACCATAAGATTCAATTCACATCCCAGTTTGGCATTTAAAAACAACAACCTGATGTCAGTTCACAGTGATTCAGACACTGCCTAATTTGGAAAGTTTAAAGTTTAAAACTTTATGTTTTCACATGCAGGATTTTTTAAAAAGTCTAACTTTTCTCTGTTTGACAGACTTGGATATAGTTTGTGGACATAATGGCCCTTCCTGGATGGATAAAGTCGGTCAAACCCAAGGGTTTTAGTTTGTGCTGGGCACCATTTTACACACACACACACACACACACACACACACAGCATTTCAGAAAGCATTTACTTATCCTAGCCAATTGTTTTGTGAGAAATTTGCCTAAAAAGGGAATACAACAGAGAGGTATCCCTAGCTAAGAACTCTGCCAAATTTTGGAAAGATGTATAGTGGGTTCTTGGCAGTAGACACCATTTTAAAGTTGATTTTGTGGGGAGAACTTCCCTTCCTGTGGTTTGGTGGGCAGCAATTTTATTCTGAAAATGGCATGCATAACAGAAGTGCTCCTAGAAAAGTCACCTGCTAATTTTCAAATGGAGAGTAGGAAGTTCTTATGAATAGTGAGGGGAACATCATCAAACCCATTTTCTGCTCAGTTGACACCGACATAGCAGAAAACCGTAGAAAGTAAGTGCAAAGCTAGTTTGAGAGATGTGAATGTGTGGGCATGTGGCATAGCAGCAGCTGGACTTGGATGTCCAGCATTGTCCAAGCAGGGACTGCTAGGAGGGCTACTAAAAGAGAATGGAATAGGCACTAACTAATTTCTTCCTGACTAGAAGCTAGACAGTTCCAAAAAAAACAAACAAAGATACCCCTCCCTTCTCTCTCTCCACCCTGACATTTTCCTTATCTGGCTAGCTTTGGGAGAAAGATTTCACTTTTGACAAGCACATTGTTTCCAGTATTTATTTTACGAATCTCAATGCATAAAAGGCTTTGGAGATTCCTGCTTTATTTCAGAGTGCTTTGGCAAGACCCTATTTTGGTTCAGACAAATTGCAAATCTTTGGCTCAAGGTTCAGGACTTGTCTGGATCTAACACACACCCCTGTTCCCTCTGTACCTTTTAGAGTTGTCCGCTTTAAATAGCACATAAGCTTCCTTCCCAACATTGTAGATTTTCGGTGTGAAAGCCACAAAAAATGACTTATATGTGGTCATTGTCAAGTAATAGACAATATAGATTGCTACTATCACATGTAACCCCAGCACCACATCAGGCATCAAACAGAAACTTCCATTACTATACAAGTGAGTGGCTCATATTTATAAGAAAATGGATTAACTATGTGGTTTAACATTGCCTTTGCTCTTTGCCTTGCTTTACAGTTTGCATAATGCAGCCTGAGAGAGTTGCATCAAAAAAGCAATATTGTCACCTTTCTGATTTTTCTCTCTTTCTAATGCTATATGTAGTGCATTTTTTAAAGATCATAGTCCGTATGCATCTCCTAAAAAGCATCTGGCAGAAATTGCCACTTCGTTTATTCCAGTTGAGCTGATGCCAAAAAAGATTGCTGGTAGATTATGATTGATTCCTTGTAATAGTTATGCACTGATTAACTGGAAATTATAATGTGCTGTGTGTCTGCTTGACCTTCTTTTAAATATATGAAATTGAATTTCTTCAGATTTTTCATACAGAGTTGCTGCTTGTCTGCCCATTGATGATGCACTGCGAATTCAGCTGCTTAAAATTGGTAGTGCTGTTCAGCGACTACGATGTGAACTAGATATAATGAACAAAGTAAGTGTACTGAACTCCTTACAAGGTCTTGAAATTGTTGTCTTGCTTACCTGGGAGCAAGTTCCCAGTTAAGACTTTTGAGTAGACACACGGCTATCAATAGCTACTAGATACGATGGCTATAGGCTGCCTGCAGGATCGGATACAGCATGCTCCTGACTATAGACATGTGGACACAACAATGGTTGAGTGCTATTGCACTCATGCCCTGCTTTTGAACTTCTCATTGTCATCTGGTTTGCCGCTTGGGGAAAATGGGATGTGGAATGATGATGGCCAGAGGGACAGTCAAGGATAGAGACATTGGTGGCTCTGTTCCATCACTGGGTCTAGAGTGTTTCCAATTTTGTGAGTCTTAGATCTTTACAACTTTCAATAAGGTTGTTGTCAACCTTATTACATTTAATGTGTCAGTCTCTTCATTGCCGCCACAGAAAAAGAGTTTCAGGAAGCAGTTATGAAAACTTCTTAAAGGAAAATAAGGTTCCAAGTGGTCTCCTTTTTAAGAAAAGTTACTGGATTAAATCTGCTTTGCTTGCAATTTAAAGTATTTAAACAAAATGTTTTGTGGATCTTCCATTCTGTTAGTTAAAAAGTGTTAGTTTCCCCATTTATGTTTGCTTTATTGCTTTTGTAGTGTACGTCTCTCTGCTGTAAGCATTGTCAAGACACAGAAATAACTACTAAAAATGAAATATTCAGGTGAGTTTGCAAAGGGCTTACACTGTAGAAATTGCCTTGAAATAAATACCCTCTTAGCTTCTAAACTGCATTTTAACAATTATACATTTTATTATTTTAGCAAGCAATTTGTAAAGATTGCATTTTAGGTGGAGAATAATCCCAAAACAAATATAATCTTTATATATATATATATATATATAAAACACAAATGTTTGGCTCTAAGTGGATCTCACTGATACATGTGAAAATCACTGAGAGTGCTCATGTTCTCTTATAGAAAATTTTTATTCTGCTGCTGAGAAATTTTCACAGAAACATGTTAAGGCAATGAACCAATATGTGGTTGTTGGCCAGATTGTTGAGGCAGGTAACAAAATGTTTTGGGGCAGAGTGTTTCTTGAAATGCCATCCCTTGACCTCAGATAGTCTTGGCTGGTCTCCCCCTTACTATCTATCTTTCTATGTATTTTTATATTATTATTATTATACCTATATACTACTGTATCATAAGAATATATTACAGCTGTTTACAATATAAAAACATAAAACCAAATAACAACATAATAAAAAGGTAACAAATTAAAACAAAAAACATTTAAAAAGATAGACCAATTTATTTATTTAAAAAAAATTATAGCATTCACCTACAATTCCATGTTTCTGTGATCTCCCCCTCATGATGAATATTCATGTTATTTCAAAACAGTAATATTCCCCATGTCTAATTTCTCACCAGCCACCAGTATCTTGAGTTTTCGAAGTTGACTTTTAAAAATTTGTTTCTTGCAGTTTATCTCTTGGTGGGCCTATGGCTGCATATGTGAATCCTCATGGATTTGTGCACGAGACGCTTACTGTGTACAAAGCTTGCAACTTGAATCTGACTGGCAGATCTTCCACAGAGCACAGCTGGTTTCCTGGGTAATAAAATGCCTCTCATTAACGCTAGTAGGTTTGGGTATTAATATGCTGTTTGAATGCTTTTGCTTTTTACTGTATTGGTGTATACCTCATACATAGCGTATACCCCAAGAACTAGTAAAATAAGAGTACCTGGGAGGTGCCAAAAAGACCAAGCCCCCAGAATATTGAGCATTGGGCAGGTGGCAAGGACAGACAGCCAAGACACCTTATTCAGGTGTGCAATATATTTCTTCTTTACCCATCACAAAGCTCCTTGTGGCTCAAGCATTTCTTTTAATTTGTACTCACCATTCCTGCGTGCAGATAATGATTTTTTTAACAACTTCAGGGCATAGAAAACAGATATTCCTGCTGCTGTTCCGGTTCCAAATGCAAACTGGATTATTGCTTGTTGGAAACACTCTCATAAGCATTACCCGTCAGGGAAAGGTTTCTAGCCTAAACATCTGAATACAGTGGTACCTCAGGTTACATATGCTTCAGGTTACAGACTCCGCTAACCCAGAAATAGTGCTTCAGGTTAAGAACTTTGCTTCAGGATGAGAACAGAAATCGTGCTCCGGCAACGCAGCGGCAGCAGGAGGCCCCGTTAGCTAAAGTGGTGCTTCAGGTTAAGAACAATTTCAGGTTAAGAACGGACCTCCGGAACGAATTAAGTACTTAACCCAAGGTAGCACTGTAACCTCTAAGCAAATCTGTTAACTCTTATTCTAGAAGCCACCACTATAATTTTAGTTGATTCCCTTAAATTGGTTGGATTCTGCCTGGGACACGTGCAAATGATTCCTCTTGCTGAAGTACTATACAGTCGTACCTTGGTTTTCAAACAGCTTACTTCTTGAATGTTTCGGCTTCCGAACGCAGCAAACCCGGAAGTGACTGTACCGGTTTGCAAACTTATTTTTGGAAGCCAAATGTCTGGCGGGGCTTCTGCAGCTTCCGATTAGCTGCAGGCTGCATTCAGAAGCCGCGCTTTGGTTTTCAAACATTTTGGAAGTTGGACGGACTTCCAAAATGAATTCCATTTGACTTCCAAGGTACAACTGTGGTGGCTTTGCTACTCTGAGCTCCAAGGGCTATTGCAAGTAGTGATTTATGAGATATATCCTGCTCAAAAAGGCTAATACGATGCTGTCCACTCCTAGGTATGCATGGACTATAGCCGAGTGCAGAATCTGCGGAAGCCACATAGGCTGGAAGTTTACTTCAACAAAGAAGGATATGTCACCTCAAAAGTTCTGGGGATTGACCCGTTCTGCCCTGCTGCCAAGGATTCCAGAAACAGAGGGTGAATCTGGTAAAAGATCACTGTTGCTTTGCCTGTGATCAGATAACCTTACCTTGGATGAATTAGCAGTCAGTGTCTTCTTAAAAAAAATATCAAAAAATCTGCAAAGTGCTGCATCTTATGTCTGATTATCTAAAAGGATCTGTTCACCTGAGCTTTGTGCAGATAAAAGTACTGTTGCTTCCAAAGGCCCTGAAAAAAATGACATTTTAAGATTGAGACTTCTGGAGGAAGAAGTACCAAATGTGCAACGGAGATGAGAAAGAAAGCAGTCCCCCCCCCCCCCGATTCTTTCATAAACACTGAAACAGACAGCTCAGACTTAGATTTGCCCTGTAATAATGCAAGAAGACTCATACTATCGGTGGGAAGATAAAACTCTGGAGGAGGAATGAAGACTGAGTGTAACTCAACTTGTGGATAATGAACAGGTATAAGATATTGCCCACTGTTATATTTGCCTGTAGAATGTTGTGAATTTATAAGAAGCCCTGTTTTTTTAACTGTGTGAAATAAGCTTACAGGTATTAGTGTTTGCTTGAATAAGCCTTAAAAGAGGACAAGGTCTAAACCTCCTATAGGGGTTCATGTGATGACAGCAGGTCCCTCGTCACAAAGTGGTTGCTGGCAGAAGCCTACTGCTGAAAGGACTATTATATGCAATTCCTTTGTTAAAAAAAAATCCCTATAGAATTGTTTTGTTGTATCACCTTTAGCTGATTTTGCTCCATTTGGCATGTTCTGACTGTTTTTTTTTTTTTTAAGGAAAACATAAGTTATTCATGAAAATGTTTAGGACTGCGATAAAGTGTAATTTTCTTCGTTAATATCTTCAGTACCTTTCCGTCTACCATATTGCAATTGTGTACCTTTTTTACATGTCTAAGATTCTGTGGGGTCCTTGGCAGTGCCATTTCTTTTGGCATTGGTAAGTTGCAGCTGTCTGTCAAAAGTTTGAAAGGGTGTAATTCAATTATAACTTGCTCTTTAGAACTAATGCTTCCCATTTGAGCAAGTTGGTTTTTAGGAGACATATGTGGGTTATTGAAATGGGGGCTAAAAACAGCAAAAAGGTGTGTGTGTGTGTGTTTTTTTGCCTTGTTTTCTTAGAATGCACTTTGGCAAGGAAAGTCTGCAGATGGCAGACTTATTTTACATATATTGGTATTCCCACCCCTGCCCCGAGTCCATTTTTGTCACTGCACTTCTTCAGAATATATTGTTAGAGATCTCGTTAAGGTTGGCTAGGTATCTAGCATTGCTGATTTTATAAGAACCAATGTATTTATCTGTGGAGGGAGATAACAACTTTTAAAAAAGCAAGCCCCCTAGTTTAGTGATCCTGCCATGGCTTCCGTCACTCCGCTGCTGAAAGCTTATTTTGCTGGCAATAAATGGCATTAGACACAGAAAGGGTGTTAGGAACTCAGTGTGCTTGATAGATAGGAAGAAGCAACTCTGTAATTCAGGGTTGCTTCCTTGAAAGTCTTCTACCTCTGTAGTACTATGTTTGTTTTTTTATTTCTCATTCCGGTCACAACTGAATGTTCACCTTTATTTCGTGCTGCAGCACTGTCTCTCCGCTGAGCTGTGAAAAGCAATAGTAGCTAAAACCTCATTTTGGACAGAGTGAGATGTAGGTCGTTGTGTTAAGAGAGAGCATTTTAGCTTTTTATTTTCTCCAAAAGGAGCTCGTATAGGATTGCAATATTAAAACATTAATGTGAAAGCACAGGATTGTGATGACTGGCCTGTACTAAAACGAGTCAGGATACTAGGGAGCTTTCTCCTAAGTGGGAAAAATGTTGGAGCCTCTGTTTTTTGTTTTTGTTTTTAAAGAGGCTGGAGTTTTCATTGCCATCAGAGGGATTTGTGGGTGGCAAGAATTTTGAAAGGGGGGGGGGAGGCCTCTGTTTTGAATGGTGGTGGGACATGATCATTTGCGAAGCTGGCATGTGGGTAAGGGGGGTGGTGGATTTTGAACTTTTGCTAACAATAGTGTAATGCTAATAATGACTTCTACATGTTAAAATCTCATCCTTCCATCTCTTATGTGATGAATGCTCACTGTAGCTGGTGCCCCATTGCAAGACCTCTCTCTACATGCTGCTACCATCTCTTCACCTCCTAAGCATGATGAGATCAAGAGCAGGTCTGAGGTTCCAACACTTCTCTTAGCCACCATTGTAGGAGGGGAGAATGTTTTCTTCTTCTTCTTCTTCTTCTTCTTCTTCTTCTTCTGCTGCTTCTGCTTCCTCTTCCTCTTCTTCTTCCTCCTCCTCCTCCTCCTCGAACAGATCACTTTTACTACCTCTTCCCCACCATCACCCCAACCATATTATAGAACAAACTTTTCTATCTTGCACAGTGTCATAGGATCAGGGAGGTCCCACGTTTTCAGTGAACCAATACGTTTGTTAAATTGCACAGATCCTGTACATGCAGATGATACAAGCCAGGACCTGTTCCTGATCTTGCTGTACATAGAGGCGAGGCAGCAGAAGCACTGCCCACATCTTTTATTAATATCAACTATGTTTGTGTGCAAGCCAGCTTCCAATAAACAGAGGTTGTGTAACAGCAGTGTTTGATGAACTGATGTCAATATATTTTACTGGTTTTTGTTATCAGTTGCCGCAGAAGAAGACAGAGTCAGCAAGCTTAAAATTTGCCTATTTGGTGGAAATGTGTGTAAACACGGGGGGGGGAGTTGATTTTTTTTTAAAAAGGGGAAAGCATTATAGTGAGATCAACGAGAAATAAATACTCCACTAATTTCATTTAATGTTGACTTGTTTCTGCCTTCTGCCCCAGTCTGTGTAATGGGTTTGGTATTATCAAGCTCATAACATTTTCTAGCTTATAAACTAGTGTGATTTCAAGTAACTGCTAAAACCGTATATTCTGGTGTTGTGCAACTGGATGTTGTACCCTCAATGAAAAATTCTTTATGTAGATTATATGCTTTCTGGTTCCAGTATAAAACCAATAATGCTTCTCTGTGTTGGCTTGGTTTTTCCTGTGCTTGTATATTGTGGGTTTTATGTCAAACAACTAGAGAAAATGAAAACTCTCAGGGAGTTAAAGTCTATTATATCTTCATGTTGAAACAGATTATAAAAATGTCAGAATCAGTATTTCCATCTGAGCACTAAATATTAGATAATTGCATTTATCAAAAACATCCCTGCTGTGCAAACCTATACATGTCTACTCAGAAATAAGCCCCACTGAATTCATTCCCAGATACGTGTGTGTGTTAGATTGCAGCCTTAGGCTTTACTCAGAGCAGACACATTGAAATTAGCATGTCTTAAGTTAGATCCATTAATTTTAGTGCATCTACTCTGACTGAAATTGGTGTTGAATTAACACCCTTACTGTTTAAAAGGTTTTTCTAAAATCAATATAGATCTCATTACAGATCTCACATCTTTATTTTCACACACAAATAGCTATACAAAACATTTTTTTTCTTGTTACCGTTTATGTGGAAGTGCATTTCAATTTTCATGCGAAGCCTTTTTAGGAGTGCTGTTTCTGTTCAGAGAACAATTCTTCCTTCATTCAGTGGTGGTTTTTGCCTGACTGTTGTTAAAACTGCTCTATGAAAGCTGCAGTAAGGAGAGCACACTGTGCTTGTAACTGCTCCTTTGTTTGCCTTTGGGAAGAATAAACTAGCAGCTAGCTGTGAGAGGTAGAAAAGGAGAATCCCCAGTACAGTCAATGACCCATTTGCACAGGGGTTAGGTTTCTGGCCCATGTGTCACCAGAGTACACATAAGCCCTCTTCCCCCGCCCCGTTATGCCCCCCCCCATTCTGTGTGTGCGTACACAGTCATATGTCGGTTGGACGTGCAGAAATGGGTCATTGCCTGTACTCCCAGAACCTGTGCTGAGCGGGTCTTGCCCCCCAAGCAATGCGGAGAGCTTAAAAGCTTGTCTTGCGCCAGGTCCGTTGGGTTACCCATCACGAAAAGAGCTTTAAAGCTCTCTGCCTTGCTTGGATTTAACTAATTTCTGCTGGCCTGCCTTCAACCACGTATGGTTGAAATCGCACAATGTGTGTTAGATGTGATCATACTGCAGTTAAGCAGAGGACACACGAATATCTGATTTCCTTAAAATAAATAAATCAGAAATTAAGCAAATTTCTGCAACATCCTTGATTGGGCTTGCTTGACAGCTGTTTCTTGGAAGTCCAAACTTGACCAGTTCTCCTACCATCTGAGCACCACATTGCTGACATTCTTGGACTGTAAAGCGTTTAAATCAAAAGTTTTCCTGCCACTTTGTGTTTCTACTGTAATTTTTTAAAATTTTATTTCCAATACTTTATAATATGCTTTTTGAATTTCATTTTTTTGTTTTGAAAACACTATTTCTTATTTTTCAAGGTCCTCCATAGATTTCAGCTTCTTTAAAAGGAATGCATTTCTTATTTTAAATTCTGTGGCTGAGTTTGAAATAAGGACTTCAGAAAAAGGAGAAATCATAAGTGAATCAACAACATAATCCTTAGGTTTTCTTTTTTAAAATGTTTGAAATGTCTGGGTTTTTTATGCATGTCGCAAAACATTTTTTAAATAGCTCTTTGGAAGTTACAAAATAAATTTATTCAAAACATTTTCTCAACTTTGAAGATTTTGTTTTGATCAGTTACATTTGTTAAATTAAGAATTTCACATTAAAGACAAACTTCTTTGAAGACCAGTGAACGTAGTTTCTTCATTCCAAAAAAAAATATTATTGTGTTGTACTAAAGATTCCTCGTAAGATCTTCAGCTGTTAAGACTTTCAAATTGTATGTTAAAATAATGCTACATGGCCTATTGTATACTCCTAATCCTCAACTATTTATTTAGTGCTTGATGAACAGCAATCTTTATTTCACTGGGATCTTTGCAAGGCTGCTGCAGTGGTGCATCGCAAGACGAAATTAATCCGTTCCGCGAGTCTCTTCGTCTTGCGAAGCACAGCTATTAGCAGCTTAGCGGCGTTAAGAAAAAGGAAACAAACTCGCAAGAAGTTTCGTCTTGCGAAGCAAGCCCATAGGGAAATTCGTCTTGCGGAACGACTCAAAAAACGGAAAACCCTTTCGTCTAGCGAGTTTTTCGTCTTGCGAGGCATTCGTCTTGCGGGGCACCACTGTACTTGAGACTTCCTAAAAAGGAATGAAAATGACACTGTAAAGTTGCAGTAACAGAACTGTTGTCTAAAGTCTCTCTCAAAGAACATTGTTCTGGCTGGTCAACAGGCGACATGAAAATGAGCCAGTATTATGTGCGTACGTGACTGGGGTGTTAATGTTGCCCGTAACTGAAGATGATGAATCTAAGATTCAGTCTATAGGATCCAGAATTAGCCAAATGGCAAGTTAGTTCAGGTAAAATTAGAGGGTTGGGTTTTTTTTAATGCAGCTGAGCAAAATTGTTCAGACCAGTGAAGAAGTGAGCTTTTAGCACTTAGGTTCTCACTTTTTTTATTGCCCCTTGACACCCTTTGTTTTCTGGTTCATCATTTTCTCTGGCCTCGCTTCTCTCACTAAAATTTAGTTCTGAATTGAACAGCAGGTCAGGAAGCAGACACCTGCAGAAATAGTTTTTGATTTTTAAAAAAGAGATTGGTGTATTATTAGGTGATAGTAGGGAGACACTCATGCAGGTTTCTCAGAAGTACTAGCTGAATGGAGTAACAAATTGTGCATCATCTTCACACGGGTGCATTATCTTTTGGCCTTCCTTGACTTCTAGAAGTGCTAGTGGACCGGCCATCATCTTGGAGATATTTGAAAATGCAGCCTGCAAAAATCATCAATGGACTGGGCTTGTGTATGTTCATCAGCAAGAATGTGTGTAAAAATTAGTCAATGGTTGATTGAAATTAACCTCTTGCGCAGATTCTTCGCTCTATAAGTGGTAAAGAATGAAAAGTATAAATGCAGAGCCATGTTCATTGTGGAAATCTAAAAACTCTGAGAAAGGTCTATAAACCTCATTAATGCAGCCTTAGAGCAGGAATAATCTCATACTAGATTTATTTTCTATGCAACACAGAGCTACCACTTGTTTTCCTCCTTGATAGCAGCACCAGCATATTCGCTGTCAGAAGTTCAGGTCTGGAGTTAATCTGTAAGGAAAATTGCTCCCTTGCAGTTTCCTATGCAGATTTAATCTGCTGCATGAATTACTTTGTAATGAAATTTATGTATAACCCTTCCCTTCCCTGGCCCCTCTGATAATTACATTTACAAACCATTGTAAGATACTTGTACAGTGGTACCTCGCAAGACGAATGCCTCGCAAGACGAAAGGGTTTTTGGTTTTTTGAGTTGCTTCGCAAGACGAATTTCCCTATGGGCTTGCTTCGCAAGACGAAAACGTTTTGCAAGTTTGTTTCCTTTTTCTTAAAACCGTTAATACAGTTGCGACTTGACTTCGAGGAGCAACTCATAGCACGCGGTGTGGTAGCCTTTTTTGAGGTTTTTGAAGACTTTGGTGATTTTTGAAGCTTTTCCAAAACTTTTCTGAAACCGTGCTTCGCAAGACAAAGAAACTCGCAGAACGAATTAATTTCGTCTTGCGAGGCACCACTGTAGTAGAAACCAGTCTGTTCCATTGACTTTCACAGTTTAATGTTTTGCTGAGCCTCTCAAGCAGACAAATTGCATCTTGCCCCTTAATATGCACATACCCTAATTAATATTGTATAATATTGTAACAGTGTTTCCCTCACAAACACGCACAGGTAAGTTTGCACGGAATAGAATCTTCCTGGTGATAACTACAGCTGGTTTGCGCTTCAACCAAAAAACCAAGTAAGTGGATCATTTATTTTTATATGGGAATGTAGGTCATTTTAAAGCATTCTGAAGCATGGGTTGCCTTGCAGTTTATGCAGGGTTTCTGACAGACCATGCATACTGCAGACTACAGTATTTAAGGCAGAGGCCACTGACCCTTCTGGGCTCATGGGAACTTTTGCACACTAGAATTGTCATGGGGATCATACAACACTCCTCTGCCAGAAATTAGGCTTACAAAAAGTGTTTTTGCTTCATTTCAAGCCTAATTGGTATGTGTGTATGATTTGCCTCCCTAGTTGTATTCTCCAGATCACTCCCCACCCTGCAACAATGAAGAGGGTGGGTTTTTCTGGTGGAATTGGGGGTGGGGAGAGACATCTTTTATTGGAACCAATAGTAGGCTTTTTTAAAACAAAACCACCCCTAATTGCAGCAGGAGAGGGGTGATTGGGGAGCAGGAGTTATAGTAGGGAGAGGCCCCCAAAACTGTTACTCACCCACAGCAATCAGGCTCAAAAGAAGCCTAATTGTGTATCTTGGTGGGATATTTTTAGAGAGGGCAGTTAACCTCCCCTCCCCAATTTGTATTTCAAAAGCCTATTGGCTACAATAGGGCTGCCCTATCATGCCTAATTTCAGCAGAAGTAGAGTTAATACAGAAGTTTGAGGAGAAGGTAGCACAAGTTAAGCTTTTTAAATACAAGTCTCTAAACTTCATACTTAAGGGGGCTTGAGGAACAGACAGGTTTGGGGAAGAGTGTCAGTGTTTTGAGCGTTCTGGTTTGCCGTGCCTCTTAATTACGTTTGGCTTACATGAATGCCTCCTATTCCTATGAAATGACATGTTCACAATACATACCACAATATGTATGAAGAATACTGGGACCCATGTGCTCTGCAACTTCATCCTAATTTACTGTAAGGATTGATGCATTATTTTTTTTCAAATTCATCTTGCTAAATAAAGGCTTTGGGACATGTGTGATCATGAAACTACTGCCCTGTGACAATTAGGTTTCCAAAAGTAAATGGCAGTAGGAAACATTAAAAGTCTACAGACACAGAAGCCACACTGAGTGAAATCACTTCGATCATATAAGGGAAGCACTGAGCCAGAAATGATGTACATAGGAAAAGAAAGGAACTGCTTTAAGCAGCCTCCTTCGTTCCCTTACACCGGGGAGTCTTGAACACT